TCTCCGTGTGTCGGCCTCGTTGCCAGTAGGCGAGGGCTCCGTCTTGGAGCACGCCAATATTTCGCTTTGCGGAACAACCAAGTGGCCGGTGAGCATGTCTCAAAGAGCAAATGGTTGCACCTGAGTCAGGCAGTATCTCTCTCTCTTCAGGTACCGCCACATGTGTGTGCAAACACAAACTTGATAGCATTGTCGAACTTGAGTTCAGGTTTGAGTATAACTCGTTACTTGGCAGAAGCCGTATCTTGCTGCAAGCACAGGGTCCACCGGAATTGCCGAATTCCTTCGTGACATGGCTGCGAAAGATTACTCGTCTGATTCAGAGGGACATGGCGCAGACGTCACTACCACTGCTGTTCATGACTCTCCTTTTGAGGTGCCTCAAGACCCTGATCAGTCGATGCAAGTTGATGATCTTGCAGGTGTCGACATCCCTTCCGACATTCAGGAAAACCTAGAGGGCAGAGACATTCAGGGATACCTGGAGTCCTTGAACCGATCGCCAACGACCGAGATCTCCAGCTCATCGGATGCAGAAGTTCCAGAAGCTCCGGATGTCGACACTATAAGGCTTTCAGCCGGTCCTCGCATGTGGATCCACAGAGGAAGAAGCAACCTCGCCGTCAGCCTCCAACAGCGACTAAGGCACCAGGTTCCATCGGGAGACAAGCCAGACAAGCTAAGACTGACCCAGTGGACAGGTTACGCATGGGTGGAGCATTGGAAGCTTTACTTGCACAGGATGATGTAGAACCTGAGGAGACGGGCAGTCACAGCATGGCATCGGATCACTACCCTGCGGCAACACCAAGGTCCCGTGCTTCTTCAGCTTCAGGTGCATCACCTCGCAGCACGGGATATCCGAGAACCCGTGCACTTGCATCCACGGATCAGTTGATGCCACCTCCCCCTCGGCATGCTTCGGACCCCAGGCTACACATGAGTGACCAGAGCCTTGAAACCGAACATCACATCGAAAGGGACGCAATCGGCGGGGCAGTATCAGTAAAGCTCGTCAGTTGGTCCGAGCCTTTGAAGGTTACGGCGAACCACCCAGACGTGGTTGAACGTAACGCCAGGTACCTTGGACGGCTGTATCACGAGGCCAAAATCAAGGAACCACCCATCATGGAGTGGACCTTTTTAGCCAATGCGATGCAAGCATACACAGGCGACAAGGAAACATTGTTTTCGCATGTTGTATGCATGGAATCCAAGCAACACATGTTCTGGAGTCACTACCTCCGAGAGCCCTTCAGCACCAAGGCCGGGGATTCAGCTGTGCATCGGTACACCCTGCATTTCGGACACGGCACCAATACTGCGGGGGTCGAGGGAATCATGAATAGTTGCTATCTTGCCCCAGCAACGATTGCAGACGGGGCGGGGGCTGTGGGACACTACAGCCAAGCTTCACCATGGGGAGACTCTGACAGCCTGAAGGCGGTCCTTGACCGAGTTGTGCAGTCTGGTAAGTGGCAGTGTCCCCTGATGGTTCATGGTTTCGTGATGACACCCGCTGCACACCATGTCATGGAATCGGGAGGTGGCTCAGAGGCACAGCAAGCTTGCATGATCCATGCAGCAGTCCACTTCAAAAGGGATAAGAAGTGGCTCTTACATTCGGATCTGACTACTGTCACNNGTCAAGAAGCAGTTTCAGCCTCTCAGAGACCACCTCGGCAGGCCAATTTTTCAGCTTGGACCCACGCATGCCGACACGGTCAAGCAACGTGTTCGAGGCACTCGCTAAAGGCGAGCCGCCCTCCGTTGTCACAGTCATTGTGACCAAACGATCAGAGCCGCATCCACTTTTGCAAAACTTCGAGGCCGTGCCTGCAAGAGTTCAGTCATGTTGTGCGTCCTCTCCCGTTGCTTTTCTCTCTCTCTCTCTCTC